ATCAGTAACTGTGAGCTTCTTACTTTTGAAATTCTTTCTGGCTTTTGGAGGCCTTGTGGACAATCCTATTGGACTGTGTTTAAATGATAATCCTGGCATTATTTTTATTAATGTCAACAAATCCCATGAAAGGAGCAAATACAACAATGTGTTAGTCATGTCTCTCTGAACTTCTGACTTTTCTACCCTGTCTGTAGCCAAATGGTTCCTACTGCACATGTTGATCTTGAAAAACTAATTAAATATATAGTTTAGGGTGACCAGACGTCCCCATTTTTCAAGGACAGTCCCTGGTTTTGGTGGCCTGTCCCCAGAAATGTCCCCGTTTTTAAATGTGTGATAATCATGTCATGAAATCAGATTTGACTATAGACTGTATGGATTTTACGTTGCCAGAAAGACTGGACAGCAGGGCAGACAGTTCGTCCACAGAAAACTGCTATCCGCAGGAGCGTGCGCAGCGTGTTAAAGCTGTATCGTCTCTTCACAACTACTGCTGCTTTTATCTGGGTCAAACAGACATAATGTGCAAATAAACATCACTTTCTTTCCATGGTAACAGCAAAGGTATGTCTATGTGATACTTACGTTTCTTTAAACGAAATAATCACGATTATGGCCAAATGTTTGCAGTTTATAGCGTAATCAGGCCAGATATTTACGTGATTATAGGCATTAATTGAAGCCTGTTGTTGCAGATGGAATATGTGTTTGGTAGGCTTATGTCTAATATCCTTGTTTTTATTTGGAAAACGGAATGAAGCCTATAATTAACATGACTTACTGCTGAGTTATACATAAAATAAAGATATGATCTGCAATTATCCTTATGACTCTGTGTACCAACCAATCCAGTCCTTTTTACCTGTTGAATTACCCTTAAATGGCCAATACAACACATAACATGCAGTATTTCACTTGCCTGAAAGGGATTGCAGCCTCTACTTACTGACTGAAAGGTAGATTTTGCCTCAAAATGACATGATTTCATTCAGAAAAGTTATATTTGACAGATGATTTTTTCAGAATAGTCCCCCCTTTTTATTTTATATATAATAACGTAATGTTTTTAATGAAATATTGACCACCAAATCAAAAATATCCCCGGTTTTCATTTCAGAAATCTGGTCACCTCAATATAGTTTCCTTTAGCAAAAGGCTCAGTAATAGCTAGCAATAGCAGCATAGTATATTGTGCATTTGTTGGGGACTATTTTTAGCTGTAGATTAAAAGACATTTGGTGCATATTTATGGCCTTTGTTATGGGGTAGTGCTGCCACATGTAGCAATTTTACTAGTTTAACTACATCTCCCAGTATTTCTAGGGGAACATTGTCAAAATCATGTGACATTCCTAGTAGCAAGCTATTTTATTCCCCACTGACCAAATGCTACATTGCTATGTATTAGCTAATTTTCTCTTGAAGGAAAACAAAGATTCTCTAACGTTGTTGCCTTGAACTTTATAACCTGTGAATATTTTGTTGTCAACCTGTCCTCCAACCCAAACAACAAAATAGGTAGTTTGTCAATGCCTCCCAAAACGACACATATGAGAGTTTCCTGTACCTGTCCAGCGGCAGGTGACCGGACCTTAGCTATGTTACCTAAGTCACGTGTTGTATGCCACATGGCATTAAACACATGGCTAACATTGTGAAATGGTGGCAGTTTGGTTAGGTTTTGCCAACAAAACTACTTGGTTAGGTTTAGGAAAACATTGTGGTCTGGGTTAAAGTAAGTATGTTACGTAAGTCACATGACAGAAGTGATGGAAGGTCAGTAATGCTATTTAAGTTAAAACTCAAAATAACTCAACATTCACGTCTCCTATGAAAGTCCTGGATTTGACCCATCCATCCACCACCTTACACCTCCTTACACAAACTTTCTCGCTATTTATAATATATCCTTCTTTGCTACTATTGTACAGATACTAGAGGTCGTAGCCACAACAACGTTAATATACGTCGTAATAACGTGCTGAACAAACAACCTACATGGTCATTTTTCTGGTGAGGACCATCTCTTTGTTATACAATTCTCAATCTTCATTAATTACAAAAGAAAAGTTTATGGACTTTACACTGTTAGCTAACTGTCTAGCTTTGAATAAAAACAACTCATTGCGACAGCAGTAGAGCATACGTTTATTTTATTATCTAACAGTAGATGTTTCTTGATGTAAAATAGCATTAGTTTGTTAAGTTACTTTTGTCTGACTACTTCAAATGAAGAGTAGCTTGTAGTTTCACTAGCTAGCTTGAAGCTTCCCTAGCACTGTTGACGGCAGCAGGGTAGTGCACGTGGGATTGACTCAAAAGAAATGTCTGATCCTGGTGGACCAAGGGTTTAAGACACTGACCATATAATCGCAACATCCCTGGGTCTTGTTTCTCTCATAATAGCCCTCCCTGGTTAAAGCATCCTCATTTATACAATCACATGTCTGGACAATAAAGTAGGCATTGGCAGGTATTGGTTTTTTGAAGGCCAATACTAAAATGTCTTGCTTAAGGCAGCTGCAAGCTGAAATTTTGCCCGACTATTCAACATTTGTGAATTCTGCCAGATGTTATTTGGATTATTCAGTGTTTCATCCAGTTTTTATTCTTGAGTCCTGGTGAAGACGCTTCATAGTCAGTATTTAAAACCTACATAGTAGTTTCATTCAAGTACATGCATACTTAAGTGAAATCTGATCTGGTCTCATATGAAATCAATTTGAAAGGTCACACACTTAGTTTATTATTAATAAATTCTACTACAATTAAGTAATCCATCAAATTGCAGCATGTCTTTTATTTCAGGTAGACCACACTGATGGTCAAAACCTAATAAACTCATATTGACCCCCAAATATTAGTAAATTGATACAAACACATACACAGTATACAGAAAACACATACACATGCAGTTGCTTGGGCTGAGATTAAGATTGAATTTTAGATGCTACATAGCAACTGGGAAGGCCAGGCCAGGCCACCCTGGAGACGAGGGAGGCTGAGGAGGAGGGGCGAGGGATTTCTATCTCATTGCATCTTAAATCAGATTACAGCTTATTCACTCCTCCTGGCTGGACGAGTTGATGTCAGGAAGCTCTGCAGCTGGAGGCTCCTCCAATCCTTTGCTTCTCATCCTGACCCTCCGCTCATCCTGCCTGTAAATCCTTATATCATTTGATTCTCCGACTCTCTTCTATTTCCTCGTGTCCTCTCTTTCATCTCTTCACTATTTCTTTTTCCTTTTTTGTCCCCAAGAAGTGCTAATCATGCTGCTTATGAGTCGTTATCATTTATAACCGGAAAAAGGAGGAGTAATTGTGCTATTTATGAGCTGTAGTCATCGTGTTTTTTTCCTTTTCACGGTATTTACATTTTGGTGAACAAAGCCAACCCTGTGTCCTAAAAGTTGTGTTCATGTAAAACTAATTTGCATTAAGCAGGAAAGTAACTCAAAGTTTTGTTGAAGTTGCTTTGTACACCCATCCACCCACCTAAGGGTGGGTTTCAAATGTCTTGAAGGGTGGGGCAGAAAGCCTGCCTCCAGAGAGCGGGGTGAGACGTGATCTAGTGTGCAAATGGTGATAGTGGTGCATACTTTCAGGCATACTCTCCTTTAAAGGAATTCATGGTGTTGCGTTCACACGTAAATTGGTGGAATTTATAGTATAAAGAATAAAAACAGCCCCCCAATTTTCAACATTGGAAAGCTGTGAGAAGAGGGGGGTTCGGACACTGTTTGACCATCCGATAAGAACTTTGGCTGGAGCATACTAACTACCATAAAAACTTCACATTTCCTGGATTGGAAAAAAGTGAATATAATTTAGGAAGCAATCATGCTTGCTCCAAATTATACTGTTAATTAATTAATTAATTAATATATTTGCCTTTATGTGACAGTTGATAGTGAAGAGGCATACAGGAAACAGAGGAGAGAGGGGGGGTGTCATGCAACAAAGGTCTCTAGCTGGAATAGAACCAGGTACGCTGCAGTTATGTGGGGGTTTCCAGTAAGGCTAATTTGTAGTATATAAACATATTTTGTTGGAGACAGGGTTGACAGAGCAGAATAAAAACATAGCTGGGTTAGGAAGAGGGATTTATGGGATAAAAGAAAAATTTTAGAGAGTTTATTGGAATTATTTTGGAAAAACCAACAGACCATGCAACAACAGTCTGATATGAAGGTAGCACTGTAATGTGACAGTGTTTCAATGACTCAACTTGCAACTTCAAGTGTCTTTGTAACCTGAACTTACACACACAGGTAACATGAATGTACATTTTCTGGCTGAAAAGGATCTTTACCTCATGTCTCCATCCACTACAGTAGAACTGCTATTCCATATATGCAGCTAATTCAGTACAGCTGTCTGTCATATGCAATAGGAGTGCATGCTGACCTCAAAACAACTGTGTCTGTGCGTGACGGACGATTGTTGACCCTCTTGGAAAGGGCTCACACAGCCTCCAAGACAGTAAAGGGGCCCTCTTCATCATGATTAACAGGTTGTGATTGAGGAGGATCAAGTCAACCCATAAGACAGTGTATCGAGCCAAAAGACACCGAGAACAAGAGCTTTGAGCCGAAAGCCAGCGATCAAATGTCTGGGAATTTGGCAGGTGAAGAAGGTGGATTACAGCAAAAAGATCCCACGGGGCTGCAAATCAGCTCTGCAAACTTATGAGTACTGGACTCTTTTCTCTTGCGATTCAAAGTGACTGAATGGGCACAATAAGACTTTCACTACTGCCAAAAGATTGCCTCACATGAGTCTTTTTCTGCTTCTCCTTCTGTGAACGTATATGATGATAATGAATTCTTGTGCAAAAGTCTGTTACACAATTATCATTTAAGGGCCTCTGAGGGTAGTTTGCAAATTCAAGGAAACATTAGTGCTAATAACCGGTGGAAACAGCTGGTGTACGCCTCAAGGCCAATCTGCAGGACTTTTAATTTAATAACAGGTTTCAGTTGAGGCCGATCGTCTTACCTTTTGGGGGAATCTAGGACTTCACCAAGCTCCTCGTATTCCATGTGGAAGACACTGCAGAAGGAATTCTGCAAAAAGAATAAAAGTGAGTTTATTTGTCTGTAACATTACAGCCTGAGTAATGTGGCTAGGACTTTCTGGGGGGCGACGTGCACCCTTTATGTTTTCTGGCCATATCAACTTCCTCATTCCCTCCAATTAAGCCATTACGGCTAAACCCAACATCCAAATACCATAAGTTAAGCAGTGGTGCCGCGCACACTGCCTAAAGCACGTCTCCAAGCATGAAAAAAGGCACACTGATGTATTACCCATCAAGCCTTGCCAGAAGGAGAGTTTCTTTCGACATTCCATGGCTCCTTTTTGCCTTTCCCCCCTTATAGGGACTTGTTTTCTCTCAGCTTGCACTCCCAACCCCTCGCAAAGGATCCTTTTTCCATTTTTAAGAGGTGGAGACAGGATGTTAAAGATGGACGAGGCTTCTTCGTTTTGGAAAAGTTTGCCCCTTACCCTTGTGCATACATACACAGACCTTCGCTCGGTGGCATGAATTCACTCTGATCTATCTAAGTTAGGGTAATAAAACTGTTTTAAACAGAAAAAGGACCTGCCGATGTTATGACTTTTATTGGGGGTCTCTGGCAAGTGGGAAAGTTTATAACAGGATGACACTGTATAATGGACTTTTTTTCCCCTGCGTGTAGGAATATTGAAATAAATCAAGGTTGTTTTCTCATATTCTCTGGAAGCATCAGTCAAGGTTTTACATGGTCAAGGAAGGATAATGGAATCGTTCCTTGGTCATGCCTGTGAGGGTTTTCACATGCAGTTATCAGCGTCAGTGGCAGATATATCAATCTCACGCAGCCTGCTCATGTTATATCATGGACCTCCAGCAACCCAACACAACACACTGGGAGATTTATGTGTTTAATCAATAGAGGAGCTGAGCATTAGAGAAGGAAAACAAAAGCAAAGAAAAATTAGACTGTCCTACACAGACTCTTATATACACACTATACACACACACGTTACATTACCGCACAGTCTGCACATCTATCTCACTGCGTTACATTAACGCACATCTTTTGGACTATTATCTCTGAACGTATTCCTTATACTTCATACTGTGAATTTTTTCACATTTCTTTGTCAATATGTCTCTTGGTCTTGTTTTAACCATGACCAGGTTCTTAGCATCTTTCCCTTAATCATAGAGGTTGCAGAAAACAAAATGTGAATCATCATGTAGGTGGTTTAAGTTACTGTTTTTATTGTTTTGGTAAAAGGAAAAGACAGCAGGATAGACTCAGTGGGATTTGCAAAGACAGGAAGAAATAAAGAGAGAATAGAAAACAGCAGGTGGTTTAACAACTGTAGAGATTGCACATGTACACGCACTCACACACACACACTGCCTAATGTGTTTCAGGACACCTGTAGCCAATTCCAGAATTATTTCTACTGGGGAGAGTTAAACAACTCAGAAGAACAAAACACTCCCAGCGGCAGGCCAGATGTCAAACCCTATCACATATCATTCACACAGCCAAACCTAAAACACACATTCATACACCGTACAGATGCCAGCACACTCAGACACAGTGCATTATGCACACATGCAAACGCATACTAACAAAACACACATGCATGCAAGCACGCTATAAACACCAAATGTAACACACAATATGCATGAAAACTACATAAACCATACACATGCACACACAAGCAAAACACATTATTACATGAACACACTTAGGTATGGCCATGCAAGTACAGTAAAAAACAAATACATCATGTACAGTGGGTACGGAAAGTATTCAGACCCCTTTAAATTTTTCACTCTTTGTTTCATTGCAGCCATTTTCCAAAAATCAAAAAAGTTCATTTTATTTCTCAGTAATGTACACTCAGCACCCCATCTTGACAGAAAAAAACAGAAATGTAGAAATTTTTGCAAATTTATTAAAAAAGAAAAACTGAAATATCACATGGTCATAAGTATTCAGACCTCTGCTCAGTATTTAGTAGAAGCACCCTTTTGATCTAATACAGCCATGAGTCGTTTTGGGAAAGATGCAACAAGTTTTTCACATCTGGATTTGGGTATCCTCTGCCATTCCTCCTTGCAGATCCTCTCCAGTTCTGTCAGGTTGGATGGTAAACGTTGGTGGACAGCCATTTTCAGGTCTCTCCAGAGATGCTCAATTGGGTTTAAGTCAGGGCTCTGGCTGGGCCGTTCAAGAACAGCCACGGAGTTGTTGTGAAGCCACTCCTTTGTTATTTTAGCTGTGTGCTTAGGGTCATTGTCTTGTTGGAAGGTAAACCTTCGGCCCAGTCTGAGGTCCAGAGCACTCTGGAAAAGGTTTTCGTCCAGGATATCCCTGTACTTGGCCGCATTCATCTTTCCCTCGATTGCAACCAGTCGTCCTGTCCCTGCAGCTGAAAAACACCCCCACAGCATGATGCTGCCACCACCATGCTTCACTGTTGAGACTGTATTGGACAGGTGATGAGCAGTGCCTGGTTTTCTCCACACATACCTCTTAGAATTAAGGCCAAAAAGTTCTATCTTGGTCTCATCAGACCAGAGGATCTTATTTATCACCATCTTGGAGTCCTTCAGGTGTTTTTTAGCAAACTCCATGCGGGCTTTCATGTGTCTTGCACTGAGGAGAGGCTTCCGTCGGGCCACTCTGCCATAAAGCCCCGACTGGTGGATTGCTGCAGTGATGGTTGACTTACTACAACTTTCTCCCATCTCCCGACTGCATCTCTGGAGCTCAGCCACAGTGACCTTTGGGTTCTTCTTTACCTCTCTCACCAAGGCTCTTCTCCCCCAATAGCTCACTTTGGCCGGACGGCCAGCTCTAGGAAGGGTTCTGGTCGTCCCAAACGTCTTCCATTTGAGGATTATGGAGGCCACTGTGCTCTTAGGAACCTTAAGTGCAGCAGAAATTTTTTTGTAACCTTGGCCAGATCTGTGCCTTGCCACGATTCTGTCTCTGAGCTCTTCAGGCAGTTCCTTTGACCTCATGATTGTCATTTGCTCTGACATGCACTGTGAGCTGTAAGGTCTTATATAGACAGGTGTGTGGCTTTCCTAATCAAGTCCAATCAGTATAATCAAACACAGCTGGACTCAAATGAAGGTGTAGAACCATCTCAAGGATGATCAGAAGAAATAGACAGCAGCTGAGTTAAATATGAGTGTCACGGCAAAGGGTCTGAATACTTATGACCATGTGATATTTCAGTTTTTCTTTTTTAATAAATTTGCAAAAATTTCTACATTTCTGTTTTTTTCTGTCAAGATGGGGTGCTGAGTGTACATTACTGAGAAATAAAATGAACTTTTTTGATTTCTGGAAAATGGCTGCAATGAAACAAAGAGTGAAAAATTTAAAGGGGTCTGAATACTTTCCGTACCCACTGTACATACAGTATGCTGAGTATACTGAAAACAAGCATTCACACATTCAAACACACACACACCCACACACGCATGTTTCTAAACAGATGCCATGTACTGCAGTAAAGCGAAGTGAGCCAACGCAGGCCAACATCTTGGAAGCTCCTGTGTTATTGTTGGTACGGTCAAGTGTTAAAGACCAGCACTGTCATTTACTAGATTTCCAACAGGAAAGCTCCTTTCCTCAAGGAAAGGTTGCATTAAAATCCACAAAGCTGTGGGTCCTGTTTGAGAAACTACAGACATTTAACACTGACACCTGTATACAGAGGGCCGTCTGGCAGATAAGGCCAGTAAAAGTTCCTAATCTCAGAGTAAATGTTTAGTAAGGAAAGAGAGAGACGGGGAGGGGTATAAAAGAAAGGGAGGCAGTTGGTCTGGCAACCCTGAGGTCATGAGAGGGGCACACACACACACACACACATACATATTTGTTGATTCATAACATGAAAGAGTTGGTTCACCCAAATAAAAAAAAAGGTTCCTCTAGTGGTACACCCATGGAGAAAGTTTTGGTTTTCTTTGTTCAGGTTTTACGATATCTGTCTCTGAGATTTCAGCCTTCACCCCAAAACAAAAAGGGGAATAGAATTTCATTTGTGGCTCAGCTTCCCCATCACCAGAAAAAGAAAGAGACCATGCTTGTGGCTCTGTGAGGCTCTACCTAAGCACAGAGGTGCATTGAGCTAAATGCTAATGTCAGCAACATTGCTGATGTGTAGCTGGTGTACTGTTTACCATGTTCAACATCTCAGTTTAATGACAAAAAAATGTGAGCTGAGCACATAAAACCAAAACTATCAGCAGGGCTGCAGACTAACTTCTATTACTGGGAGCACTGTAGCCCCTAATTGAAAATGTTAGGGGCACAGGCACAAAATGTAATGTCAAACCTGCAACGCAATTTTTCATGTTCTCAATTTTAACTGTATTACTGACAGATGCTTTGGTAATTAATACAGAAACTACAATGTGCCATTTTATTTTACTTCCCTGTCACATTTTAATTGAATGGTGCCTAACAAATGCACATCCTGAAAGTGGCAATGCTGTTTCACTTGTGTATCTATCTGGCCGTATTTTATTAAGTTGCTGTTGTGTGTCATTAAAGGTTCAGTCTGTCAGTTCTATGGTGCATTCCATTTGACACTGGAAGTTGCAATTTCCAAGTTCAAAGACTGAAGTTTTGACAACCGCACTACCTCGACTTTGTGATCCAAGATGGCTGCTCTGAGTATCAACAGCTGTAGTTTATACCGTTTATTTGCACTTCTGTGTTCTTGTGTCTCATATAAATATTCGTACACAAAGTGCTGTTAAGCTGCTGTCTGTGAACGTGTTGCTACTGTGTTTAGTATGAGTAAATACCGCACAATGAGTTTTTTTTGTTTTTTTTATCAAACGGTATAACATTGGCTAACCTGGCTAGTTGTAAACAACAGCTGGCCGAGCGAGGAACGCCTTCAACTCGAGTGTGACGTCATTCCCAGCTCTGACCTCTGACTTCCGATGTAAATGGAAAGCAGCATTAGTGCCATCTTAGTGGTGACGGTTGCGAATTGTAACCACTGGTTCAGCCACCGCGAGTCACATGTA